TGCTTAATTTCTCTAGCTCCCTGGAATCTTTGGGGGCTTGCGGGCTTCCGCTGGGAGCAAAGTTGTGTCCCGAATTAATCTGTACCCTATGGTTTAAATGGTTATTGTTAAACTGATTCGTCTGGGGGAGCCTTGGTGCGATAGGTCTATAATTCTGGTGACTTTGGCTAAAGGTCTGTCTAAAAAAAGGCGCCCTTGTTGCAGGGTTCCTCGGTTCTATCTTTTGTAATTGTAGGCAAATAGAGTATGCCTCGTGGACGTTCGCAGGCTTACAGATTATCAGTAGCCTAGAAGCGTCGCCGTTTACTCCCCTTATAAGGGCATAAAGGGCTTTGTCCCTTTAACCGGCAAGAAAAGCATCGGTTATCTCCGTAGAATAATTCCTGCTCTTAATTTTATTCATTATGAGCGAGACATGATTATTGATCTTAAGGTAGAAATCGTCCAGTTTTTGGCTTCCCTGGGTCATTTGAGCTAGTTCGTACTCAAGCGTACCAACATCTCGTCTATCGGCAAAGTGTAATGCCAATACCCGTTCGACCTCTGCCCAATCGTCATCCCGCACGTTATATGCATTGAGTGCCATGTCAGCGTTGCCCCTAATTTTTTGTCTAATCTGAATAAGGACTGACCTATATAGGGGTTTCTCCCGAACGACCTCGAAATCGTTAACAATGGATTGAGCCCTATTAATCCAAGAGTTGTATTTCTCGGAATCTCCCTCGAAAGTCACAAGCTCCCTTACGCAATACCGTATGGCCAAAGACTCCTTGAGTTCGTATTCCGTACGCGGACGCATTAATGGTAGCGGTATCTCCGGTACCGGGTTGCGTCGCTCGAAGTCAGTTTCTAAAACGTTCACCCTATTTCCTATTTTCTTAACCTCTTCCTTCATGCCCACCATCTGAGTGATTAAGGCCGAAATGGTAGCATCAAGGCGGTTCAAAACTTCTTTCATTTCCTCCATTTTTATGGTTAAATTTTTCTCAGGGTTTTTTCACTTTATTTAATTGTGCGTCGAAGCAGGGAATTTAGCAACAGTTTTCTGCTTTTTTTGTAAATTAATTTCTACTTTATTTTTTTTTTATTAGTATTAACAGACGTGCGTATAAAGAATCGTTTCACTTACCCGCAGTATTTTCCTCCTTTTTCTTGTTTTTGTGGTTTTAATTTTTCAGTGCTTCAATTTTTCGAGGTCTTCTGTTTTCTCTCTTACAGGATTATTATTCTGAAATTATATTAGAATTAGTATGTGATTTTCTTTTTGTTCCAAAAAAAAAACAAAATTGTAATTTTCGTTTGAGCGTTGTGCGATTTTTAATAAAATTCGTGTTTTTGGTTCTATATTTTTTATTTCTGTGTAATTGTGTTTATCGGCGCCGGTGGTCCGTATTTAACCGTTTTGGCATTGTGCCTACTAAGGTACGGTTGACACATAATCCACTGGTCAGCTTTTTTTGAATGCATTCCACATCCGTTAGCCTTTCCAGCAGATTGCCAGTTACACGACACATATTTTATAATTGGAAAAAATTTTCTTCTTTTCTTTTTTTTACTTCAAAATAGGTTTATAATTTGTGCCGCTCGCAAATTAATTGCCGCAGCGGTTATCTGTGTTTATTTAATTAAAATTGCAATTTTTACACTCGCGAATAAGCTACCCAATGGTGTGGACTTATCGCCGCAGTGGACTATCGCCTCTTTTGTTTTATATTACTTAGTGTTTCGTGCCCGCGAATATGCCGCGTCACAGGGTACGTGGACAGATCGCCGCGGCAGGTAAATTTTTTTGCGCCCGTGGGGAATGCCAGCTCTAAACGGCAGCATCCTCACCGCAGCGGGTAAATGTGATTCACTACCAATTATATTTTTTACATGCACACGCACAACGCTTTCACATTTTTTGGATACTTTAGTTTTTAACTATTCACATATTTTTCACTTTATTTGTTTCTTTTTTTTTTTTTTTCGGGCGCCAGTTATGGCCAGACATGGCCAGAGGGTATTCCCCCGGATATTACCTAGTTAATGTTATCTGCATCCTCGCCTTTCCAATTCCAGGTCCCTTCGTCCCTCTCTTTCACAGCTCAAACTTTATTTTTTACGAAGCTACTTTAAAATAAAACAGTAATCGCTTTTATACGTTACAATGGTTTTATTGTTGCAAATAATAATGGTCTGCTGGCTTTGGGGGTACAAATCGAAGTAAATCTAAATCAAGCTGGCTTGTTAACTGCATAACGCTGGCAGAGCGGTTGCATCAGTCCGATGCTGACAGCAGCGGTTTTGGGGGTTTTGGGCCAAAGTGTTGCTATGCTCCAGGTGCTGGTGTTGCATTTCCGTCCGTGTGCAGGGGTAGGGGTAGCTATGACTGAGACAGCTAGCGATCGGTCAGTGGTCTTCCATTGTCGCGCTGCTGATAGCAGCGGTTCTCCAGGTGCTAGCTTTGCATTTTCGGTTGGCCGCGGCGATGGGAAGGGGTAGCGGCAGCTATTGCTGAGGCAGCTAGCGGGCGGTCAGTGCTCTTCCATTCTCACGTTACTGCTGTTGCAATTCTGCCGTTGACGTTCTGTCGCTGCGCTGTCGCTTTGACGCCGCTGGCGTTTGGTGTCTGCACTACCGCTGCTGTGTCTCTGCTGGTCGTCGGGTTGGCTGAGTGGGGTGATGAGGGAAGTCGCTGTGTCTGGTATCCGGGTCGAGAGTGGGTGAAGGGAAAGGGGCGCTTGGCCGGTGTTAACTTATATATTCTGGATCAGGATCAATAGCGACGTCGATTGAGCCATGTCCGTCTGTCCGTCCGTCTGTCCGTCCGTCCGTCCGTCCGTATGAACGCTGAGATCTCAGAAACCGTAAGAAATCGTTTGACCTTGTATAACTTATTTCTGTTAATTTTTAAAATCGGAACAATATTTCGCTATTTATAAAGAAATTAAGGTTAAGGTCTTCACATGGTTAAGATCTTCACATACTTCCTCTGACAATAGGTGGCGCCTTGTGAATTTCCACTAGCAAAATAATATTTAAAAGTTTTTTAAAACAGTAACGGGTATCTTAAAGTAGCGGCACTCGACTATAGCGTTTCCTCTTGTTTAATATACCAACAGCTTGGTAATGTCGACTACTACCGTCATATGGTTCGAATACCAGCGGTGGCGGCTTGTCACCAGGAGATATAATTTTCCTGCTTACCGTCAAATTCTGTAACCGACTTGACCATATCAAGGGGCTTGTTGCACTGTATTTCTGGATTTAATTCAATTTCCTGAAATATCTAAATTTGTGGGGTGCTATCCTTGGTTTTAAGTAAGTTAAACTCCGTCTAATTTCTTATCAAATAGCTCCTGTTGGTTTTGAAGTGCGCCGGCAACGGCAATCGCAATTTGGTCTGCCTACATTTTAAGTGGTTGTTTGGTTTCTGTGTTTGTGGCGTTAAGGGTACTAGGTCGAATAAATGCCCCCCTAATACTAGATGCTACTCTGCAATAACTTCGTCGTCTGACTCAACTTCTTCGTTAATGGGGCCGTTGCTTTATTTAAAAAAAATTCCATGGCGAGTCAGAATTTTATTAAGGGTCTGCTAAATAATTATTAATTATTTTTTATATTTTTTCAAGACAGCAAGCAAATTTTGTTGAGGTTTTTTTAGCTAATTCGAATAAGAGCTTGTTGGATAACAATTTTCGTTTTTACCACAATTAAATACCAAGAAATTGTGAGATTTTGTAGAGAGAAATAAATAAAAAATGTATACTAAAAATGGCGTAAAAGGGAATTAATAATGTTGCCACGGTTAAATAGCGGCGGATTTATTTTCTTTATTTTCTTTGATTTCAGTAAAATAGCCTACTCACATTTGGTACATTTATTTGTTGTTGTTGCTGCTGCAGGGGCAGCTGCTGTCGCCGACGCTGTAGCCCTCGCTGCTGCTGTCGTCGCTCTATCGGTGCAGGTGTAACGTCTCTCTAGTCTTGTTTCTCATCTTCTCTTGAAGGGTTAAGGGTAATTTCTACCGTTCCGGTTGTTGGTTTTATTTGCTCTTGCGAAGATCGTGAATGTTTGCTTGGCGTACTCTATATGCCAATATGATGCACTGCACTTTTTGTATAATTATTTTAATTTTAATTGTTTATCGTTTGCAATTACATTTGTAAATTTATTAGAACTGCGTATCGCGTGAGTCGGTTACGTTGGTCGCCAGTTATTTTGGACCGATATTTATAGTATTACTTTAACATTGACTCAAACCCGTTGGGGCACGGATTAATTAAGAGATTTGGTTAATTATATTTTTACTTAGTTAGTGGCTTATACCTTAAGAGGTAAAGTAAAGGTTAATATAAACAAGGTAACAATCATGAATTTATTACACAACTATGGCTATGCCGGATCAGCATTGGGTATCCGGTTGCTGACGATCACTCGCCGCGCATTTGTTCTGGGCGGGCACCGGGCGAGTGCCCCCAGAGTACGGAGTCGGCGTTCGTGTTGGCCAATTCTGGCCGGGCTCCGGGTGATTGTCCCCGGATTGCGGAGTCGGCGGTTTTCTTATTCCGCGTGTTGGCCACCGCATCTGGCCTGCAACTCGGCAGTTTCCCAGTTTGGAACCTGGGTGCGTTAACTTACATATTCTTGAAGAGTGCGTGTCGTATCGATTGCTTTATAATTATTGGGCTATTTGCAGGTCACTACATAAGATACATATATGTACATATATCAGAACTATTTACTGGCAGCGGGCTCTCTTGCCCACCGCAAGCAAACATAGTCCTCACATGAGCAGTGTCATCAACGTCGGTTATTATACATACATGGGTACATGCTTTCTTTTGGATCTGGAAATACGAAGCGAAAGTAAAAATTACAGCATCCATTTCTGCTATCAATTTTAAATTTTTTGATATACAGGTTTCGCAGACGTATGACATGAGAAATGTTGGATGGTGGGAAAATGATATTTAGCTACAATTCTGGTGGAATAAATCTTATGTATGTATGTATATATGCATTGCCGTGTAAAATTAGTTAACATTAATTGCAGTTTGGATGAAACATGAGCCATTGAAAAAAGCTGGCGGAGAAAAAAGTACAATGATGAACCTAGAAGAAAATAATTTAACGGATTGCGAAACCGATGAAGATTATTTTCCCTATGATGGGAGCTCAAATGATAAAAGTGGAAGTGACGAATCGAATGGCAATCCGGGAAAAAAACTTTTACACCAAATCAAAGAAACATACTGGGCATGCTTTCCGCATAACGCGGCAGTCTAGCTGCTCCAAAAACGATATAAGAAGAATTGAAAGGAACGAACTGCAATCAGAGGAGGAGGCTGATACTTCACGATCCGATGTTCTGTGGGACAATTTCCTTACAAAGGTTGAGTCCGAAGAAAAAATAAACAAACAAACTGAGCATGACAAGGAAACCGACTTTAATGTTAACAGCAAACCTGAGTTGACCAAAATAGAAGTGAAAAGAACTCTAAACGTTACTGCTAACAAGGAAAAACGAACTATACCTATTGTAAAGTTCAAGGCTCTCTACATTGAAAAGTCGGTTAAATGAGAGTGCTATAGGTTCTTTTATGAATAATTTTCCAAAAAAAAGAAAATTATCTGTGCTGGAAAAGTCTCAACTGGATTGGAAGAACTTTAAAATAGATGAAGGGATAGACGAACAGCTGCGTGCACATAACAGAGGCAAGGAAGGGTAAGTTCGTGAAAAACTTAAATTTGTAAAGTTAACTTAAAAAGCATTTTCATATTTTAGATATTTGGAGCGCCAAGACTTTTTGCAAAGAACCGATCTAAGACAGTTTGAAATTGAGAAGAACTTGCGGCACCCTAGCAGGTCAAATTGATTTAAAGTTACATGTACATGTGTTCTTAAGCAAAAGTATCTATAAATATTCGTTAAATACCAGAAATCGAGATTATGATAAAATATGTATAAGTTGGAGATATAAAGAACCCATGCCTACAACGTTTTTGTACACTTAAATTTCAAAATAGTCTATAAATGAATAACTTCTTAAAAGGTTTGCTAGAGTTTTCTAGAGAATTGGTCAGAAAAAGCGCATTGTTTAGATGTGTTCTTTACTATAATTTTACTCTTGGTATTAAATTATAAAATCTTAAATTTATTTAAGTGGTTGATACAGACAGTGGCTCACAGCTTATTTGACCCACCTTGTATATTCAAATTTAAGTGAGAATAACTTTTTAACTAAAGCAGATATTAACAAAATAAAAACGCAGGTTTTTCGGTAGCTATTTTAGAAATAACAAACAACTTAAATTTTATTAAATTAACAAACGGTTTTATAATTATTCAACTAAAAAGAAAAATATTGTTAAAGCCATCATCCACGGATTCGTTTTCGAAAACCGCTTGGAAGACAAGGGCATTAAGACATTAAAAAGAATATAGGGTTCTGGAACACCGTAATTTTTGCTGATGAGTCCAAATTCAACATTTTGGCTCCAATGGACGAACTTATGTGTGAAGAAAGCCCAATACAGAGCTTGAAGGCAAACACCTGAAAGGGACGGTAAAGCATGACGGCCATGTAATGGTACGGGCCTTTATGTCGGCTGCAGGTGTTGGAAGGCTACAGTTTATTGAGACAACAATGGACAAAATGGTTTACTTCAATATACTGAAGGATAATTTGATCCAAAGCGCCGAGGATTTTGGTATAAAGAAATCATTTCGCTTTTACCAAGACAACGATCCCAAGCGTTCCTCGTTGATCGTTCAAACTTGGCTCATATACAGTCTGCACATAATTTATTCGTACACCCATGAGTTGCAAGCTTATTGCCTAATATCTCAAGAAATACGTAACGAAAATTAAAATGTAATATCTCAAATGAAAGAAAGATACACATTTCGAGAATATATTTTAAACATAAAATTAACAAGTTTTAACTTTAATACTACATAATTTCATTAATAACACAAAAAAGTCATTATTTTACGCACAAAAATTATTCGTACACTTCATAAAATGCTGAAAAAAACCACAATTACAAAGAGTTAAGGACTTTAATCTTTAGGGGGTACTTCGTTGGCCTTAATGGAATCTTGTAAACGTCGATACATGCTTTTTATAAAGTTGCTCATCTCGTCAGCATCAGTTGAATCCCATTAATGCCGTTTTTAGGGATTCCTTTGAGGATGTGTTGTCCTTTTCTAGAGGATATCCCATAAATGTTCTATGTGGTTCAAATATGGTGATTGTAGAGTCGGTTTTTGCTTCTTGCAGTGATATAAAAGGCACTATTGCACTAAATACGACAAATATATCGTTATCTTATTGAAATACGAAAGATTGTGTCCAAGTTTAAGGGTACTTGGAATTAAATTTTGGGCTAAAATGTCTTTATACATAAATTTATTAATTTTATCTTCCAAAAACACCATTCGACCCACTCCACCTACAGCTGTACACCCATAAACCAGCACATTCGGGCCAACGTGCTTAAAAGTTGGAATCAAGTTTTTCCTTCATGGCTTAATTAGCCTTTTGACATACTTTAAAGGGACCGCCGTGTCCAAAATTTTTAATTTTTGATTTGTCAATAAATATAACGTTTTCCCAAAACAATTCCGGCTTGCTTACATGCACTTTTGCGATCTCCAAACGCATTTTTTGTTATAATCAGAAATCGATGGCTTTTTACGAACAACTCTACCATGTATACCAACATTGTGCAGGGTGTTCCGGATGGCTTGGGAACAACATTTTTTTCTGAAGGCTTCTCTAGGGTTTTAAAAATTATTGTATATGTTATTCTGGGTTTTTGTAATGGTGTATTTACAACTTTATGCTCTTCCCGTGGTGTCAATATGTGGTTCCTTCCAGATTTTCTATGTTCTACTGCAAATTCTCCAGTGATTACGTATTTTTTTTTATAAAACTTCGCATTGTGGAAGGTGACTTGACAATATTTCTACCAATTTCGGGTTAATTCCGGTTCGCTAAATATAATTTTATTATAGTTTTTCGAAAACTTAAGGATAAATCTTGACCCCGACCCATTTCGTCCAATTAGAGCAAAAAAGCAGCGAAACTAACTAAACAACTTTGAGAATAGTACACCGAAGTTTTCTCCGAAGTACAGTTCAAAAAAGAATCGCGGATTACCGTTGGATTCAGAAATAGAAGTCAAGAATGAGAAGTGTACGAATAATTTTTGTGCTTAAAAAAATGACTTGTTTTTTGTTATTAAGGAAATTTTGTAGTATTAAAGATAAAACTTGTTAATTTTATGTTTAAAATATATTCTCGAAATGTGTATCTTTCATTTGAGATATTACATTTTAATTTCAATTACGTATTTTTCGAGATATTAAGGAATACATTTCCAACTCATGGGTGTACGAATAAATGATGTGCCGACTATATGTATAAGTGCCCTCACGTGATGAAACCATAGATACGAATATCCGCAAAAGGCAGATATCGAACAAAAACAATCTCAAAGTTGCCTTGATGGAGGAGTGGGCCAAAATACCTTCAGAAACCACCAAAAAGCTAGTGGAGTCTATGCAAAAATGCCTCAAAATGGTCATACACCAGAAGAGGGGCCATACAAAATATTAATATATGTATAATCTTTCATTATTTTTGTAATTATAAGAAATGGGTCGAATAAGCTGTGACGTAGAAAAGTGCAGTATTTTTCTTTTTAGTTGAATAATTATAAAACATTTTGTTAATTATTTTTATTTTTAAAATAGCCACTGAAAAACCCGCGTTTTTTTTTAAATCTGCTTTAGTTAAAAAGTTATTCTGTATGATATCCATTATTTTTTTATGATTTCGCTGATATTAAATGTTTTGGCGTATTTTAAATAATTTATTTTGGAGTTTTTTGGGCAACGTTTTTTCCCACTTTTCCTGAAGACATTTTTTAAATCCGATATCGACGATATCAGTGTCATTTAACTTTGACATATGAATGTATATACAGTTAGCACATATTCGTACACCCAAGTTTCAAGCTTATTCCTTAATAGATCGAGAAATATGTAACGGAAATTAAAATGTAATGTCTAATATAAAGCGTTATTTTTTCTGTTAGTCTCCGATTTTGTTAACAGGGAATTAAGCCGAATGCTATCGCCACAATTAATAAGGTCAAGTTAAAGTCAATACAACTCACCTGTCCAAAGCTGCAAGCATAGTGCGCGCTAAGACGAAGACAAAGCTAAAGATGAAGCTGAAGACGAATTGCTTGCGGTACGAGTAAGCTAATAGGTTGCATAGTGCAAGACGAGTTTTTTGCGATTTTGTGATGAAAATCAGCACATTTGATTACATTCTGTTAAAAAAAAAAATTTAAGAAAATCCCAATTATACCTTCAGATAGGTTATTTGTAACGTTAAGGTTGAAAATTATTCAAATTTTTTTGTTTAAATCCAATTTAATTATTTTAATTTTTATTTAGATACAAATTGGTTAGGTACGATTGGTCTTTGAAGCTAATTGCTTGTGTTTCGTTCAGCGCGCACTACGCTGGCGGGCGAGCGAATTCATATGAAATGTTCTGCACTGTTTTTCATCTTTTAGTCTTTATCTTCGTCTCAGGCGCACTATGTTTGCAGCCCTAGTGGTCTCAAAAAAAGGGATAAAATAAAGACGGAAGCCCTGAGTAATCCCATAAATAATTAGTAATAGACGATACAAATATTTTAAGAGAATACTGTTCCGGACAGATATCCCATGCAGGATCTTAACAAAGGCCACAGTATTTTCAACAATGGACCTAGAGTCCGGATTTCATAAAATCTTGAAAGACTCCTACATTGAAAAACTGTCGTTTTCTATTAACAATGGGAAGAATTAATTTTTAAGAATGTTATTTGGTCTAGCGAATGCTTCTCGAATTTTAGAAATTTGGAGAGCAATGGACGACTTAGAGAGCAATGGACAATTCAAAAAGACGGGAAAATTTGTCACGTTTACATGAACAATATAATTTGATTACCAAGATTACTGAATATTATCATTTTATTCAGAGCAAACATGGGACTTTTCCTAGAAAAATCAATAATTCTTCATGAAAGAAACCAAACCTACAATATTATTAAAAGAAACCACGAAAAATTTTAACATTTGATAAATATCCCCATTCTGAAAATATTAAAGAGCTCAGAAGCTTCCTTGGATTAACATGTTAATATAGAAAGATTGTAAGCAAATGTGCACTAATAGCGAAACCTCCTAACAAATATCTATGAGGGGACTATGCCTAAATTATTTCCAAACATGTTTAGTAGATTTAGGTATCCAAAAAAGTTAAAACAGACAATGGCAGGCAATATAGGAGTGTAGAGTTTAAAAATAAGAGGAAACGCTATAGGCGAGTGCCGCGACTATAAGATACCCGTTACTGTTTTACACAATTTTAAAATATTCATTTTGCTAGTGGAAATTCACAAGGTGCCACCTATTGTCAGAGAAAGCATGTTGAGTAACTGATAGTGACGTCACTGCCCATGTGTGGCCTTATAACCTAAATTTTTAAATCCATAGATGTTATAAAGCAGGGGTGCTCAAAATCGTCTTATGGCAGAGCATTTACTAACACAAATACAAGAAAGCGTGCACATATTTAGTGGCGCTTTTGTGTTGGCCTGCAGCTGTGCACTGAGCGAAAGAAAAACACCATATTTTTTCTAACCAATTCATCACTCATTTCAACACTTACGTCGATGGTCCACTGCGAAATAAACTCCAAAGTGTAAACAGAAATCACAAAGAATGAATTCTAGTGCAGGTGCTCACAGATGTTCGCAGATGTTCGCCGCGAGCACGTCCCTATGCTCCAAGCATTTACAAAAACAAACGAGCACTTAGAGCATAGGCGTTGAGCACCCCTGTTATAAAGAAATAAGTTATACAACGTCAAACGAAGGCATTAGAAATAATATTATAGACGCCACAGTTTTCCGCAGTATGTGGGCAAGTTGCAGTGGCATCTCTAAAATATGTGTCTAAGCCTAACTTTCTAGTTTTTTGCCTTTTCGGTTTTCGGGTTTTGTGTGCGTTATGGTGGGAGTGGCTAGATGGGAAATAAAGACGACATTATCCCGCAATCCTCACAGGCGCAGTACTTCGGCCTCATTTTGAATAAGCGACTCACATGGAGGCAGCATACTCTGCCCTTCCCCAATAAAGAATATTTGTTGATTTAAACAAACAAGCAAACCTTAAATAAAAAAAAAATAAGAATACTCTAAAATAAACCCAACCCAAAAAAGGTGTTTTGGCCG